TTTACAGATCGGTTTTTAAAGGTTTAGGACAATTTAATGTGTCTGGGAAAAAATGACCCATCAGCACTACAAACGTGGTTATTACTGAAAAATATTAATGTAAACACTGCAGAATTAACAAGATTAGGTAAAATCTTTCGGGACACGTAATATTTTTTTCAACGTGTTGATTGCTGTTATCTGTTGGAAGTTGTCTTTTGCGACATACATTTTCCTTTGCCCCGACAACTTTCCATATTTATCACTAGATGTAGTAGCCTGCGTACTTCCAACAATTAAAAAAAGGAAAATCTGTAGATCCAATATAGAAAAACCCAGGCCACTGAGAGTTTAATATTTGTTCTTTCTCTTTCTCAGAGATAAAGATCTGTCTATGAATGCAAAAACGGATTTTAACTGAGTGCTGATTTTCTTTTCTTATCAGATCAAGTCCATTTGTTTAGAAAAGGTCGTTTAAGAAGTGATTGAAATTTGAATTATTTACTAAATATTCAATACTTGCAGCGTTAATTTTTGATGCAGCTTGACTCGTGGCATATTTAAATTAAGAATGCTAGTTTAAAAGATTTCGTTTTAATATAAATCAGTATCGCATAAAGTTAAAAATTAGACTATAACCTAATTAGTTCCAAGAGAAGTTGTAAAGATAGGACAAATTATGAAAACATGAGATATTGCATCTAACAAAAACGAATAATTTTCTACGGATTGCACCACTAATTGCATTCCACACGTACGAATTATAGTATTACACCAAGTTTGGTTTCTTGAAGGTTACAGTTCTATCAAAACTTTCAGTGACTAGTTGAATCGAATAGATTCATCTCAGGGTCCTCCGACCCACGCTGGACATGTGAAAACCGACATCGTCTTAAACGAAATGGTCAATGAAACCACTGCTGAAAAAATCTGTGACTATAAAGATGAATTAGTTAATCAATTAGAAGCAACGGAAGGCCAAATGTCACACCCCTTGGGTTCGCGGATGAGGGGGTCAAACCATTTTATAATACGGTTTCTATACTATTCTAAACTAAAAAGCCACGGTGAGTCAGAGTCGAACTCAGGACGGCTAACGTGGCAAATACGAGTTGGACGTCCTAACCACTCGGCCACCGCCTTTTTATAATTTTTTCTGTCTTAGTTAAAATTGTGTTTATACATAAAACAAACGTGGCATTTTTTCGTTCTACCTTCTATTGTGAGTAGGAATAAAATTATACGGATTTTAATAATTTCCTTCATTTTCTTGTACACCGTTTCTATTAACAAATGTTTTTGTTTTGTCCAGTTATTTCAAATGTTAAATAATAACTGGGTGTGTTTTTTAAATTTTTTATTGCACATTTCACATTCCTAAACTCTCCTCTCCCTTTATCTCTTCCTCCTAAATCTTTCTCTCCGTCAGATGTCCAGTATGCTATACGCCAGCTCAAACCTACAAAAGCTCCTGGATTTGACTTGCTAACTCCCCAAATCCTCAAACACCTTCCAAAGAAATCCGTAATATTCATCACCTATATATTTAATTCAGTCCTACGCACAATCTATTTTCCTCGTCCCTGAAAACATTCTGTCATCCGTATGATTCCTAAACCCAAAAAACACACATTGTCCTACTTCCTACAGACCCATTAGCCTACTACCGATTTTAGAAAAAATCCTAGAACGGCTTATTTTAAAACGTATCACTCAATCCTTAATTCTAAAAAAAGTTATCCCCGACCATCAATTTGGATTTCGTGACGGTCACTCAGCAGTTCAGCAGTGCCACCGAGTTGTAGATGTTATTTCTGCCTCTCTTGAGTTGGGCCAGTATTGTTCGGGGGACTTTCTTGATGTGGCCCAGGCCTTCGATCGAGTTTGGCACCCGGGCTTGCTGTTATCGCTCAAGGACATCCTTCCCTCAACCTATTACCTTATCCTTCGAAGCTACCTCACTGACCGGTACTTCCGAATCATTGAAGGATCGGCGTCTTCCCCAAACCGCCTTCTCCTTGCTGGTGTTCCGCAGGGCAGTGTTCTGGCGCCCGTACTGTACCAAGTGTACACGGCAGACCTCCTATCCCAACCTCAAACTACCACTCTAACCTTTGCCGACGATACAGCGATCCTTTCAAGCAATTCTGATCCAGTCATTTCCACTCGAAACCTTCAAGAACACCTCACACTACTGGAATCATGGTGTAAAAAAAAAGACCCAAATTCAACCCAGAAAAATCCACCCACATAACCTTCACCCTCCAGTCTACTTCAATCAAATACCCCTCCCAATTGCGGACAAGGTGCGCTACATAGGACTATATATTGACAAACGTCTGACGTGGAATCCACACACACGACTGAAACGGCAAGAAGTTATGAAACGTTACAGAGCACTTCCACGACTTCTTGACAGACGTTCTAACCTACCTCTCTTAAACAAAAGACTACTTTATATCACCCTAGTGAAGCCAATATGGACTTAGGGACTGGAAGTGTGGGGTTCAGCCAAACATTCCAATATCCTACGCATCCAAAGAGCCCAATCCATCATCCTCAGAAAAATCCTTAATGCTCCCTTTTATGTGTCCAACAACACTACCCATAAAGACCTAAATATTCCTTTTGTCCAAGATGTAATCCACTCCCGTGATCCGAAAAAAAAAATTTTTTTCACAAACCTCCCAACCACTATAAATCCTCAAATTCAAATCCTCTCATCCCGACGAATTCCTTCCAACCCTCTTCGCCGACTAAAAAGACGATGGCCACGGGATCTTCTATCCAGTGACAATTGAATAAAGAATGGTTAGCAGTACTAACCAGTGGGTAGTTTCTCCACTCTTGTTTTCTTAATGATTTATTCATACATTATTACTAGATACCAAAATGCAGGTACTTGTAATATACAATAAAAAGCAAAAAAAATGTATTGCACATCATGCCCCGTGTTAGGTATTACTTGAATTAAACATAATAAAAATAACATAATTACAAATTATAAAACGTGTTTACAACTTAAAAAAATACTACAGATTATTTTCTTTTCGCTTAACATTATAATAAATCCTACTACTACTACCAATAATAATAAAAATTGTCATATTTCAGTTTTTCCGACAGGTCAATTATTGAATAGTGAGAAATGGTGATCACATGTTCTCTTGCTTCTGTATTTAGCCAGGAGAGTAATATTGACTGAATCCGTCCTGTTTCCGAGTAACTATCGGATATGAACTTTTTCTTTTGTTATGAAGTTCGTATACTCACCTGAAATTGTCATAATAAAGCTTTTTTTATACTACAATGCTTTATACCTTTTCGAATATTTGTTTTGAAACAAATAGTATCTAAATTGATCATGGAGTTGTGATTGGCACATTTGAGCTAGAAAAATCTTCCCGGATAACTATGGCGTTGTAGCGAGATCTTATATTCTCTAGTTTTCCGAGCGTCCTAAAAGGGTGTTTTGGGGTGCATCTCCACTAAAATTGTCATATTTAAATTTTTTCATATAATGTTTCTCTGCACAATTCCTTTAAATTGTTTGTTCCTCCAATTTACTGTGGGTTTCATTGATGAATTATAATGAATATTTGAGGAAGAAAAGCCTCCAATCAATTATCAAATAGGGAGAAATTGATCACATGATCTCTTGCTTTTGCATTTAGCCAAGAGAGTAATATTGACTGAATTCATCTTGTATTCGAATAACTTGTCATATATGAGTTTATTCATGTGCTATTAGGTTCGTATTCTTACCCGAAATTGTCATAATAAAGCTTTTTTATATTACATTTATTTTGTTTTGAAGCAAATTGTATCTAAATTGATCATGGAGTTGTGATTGAGACATATGAGGAAGAAAGGTCTACGAGGTCAATCATTGAATAGTGAGATATTGTAATCACATGGTCATTTGTTTCCGAAATTTGACAGGAGAATACTATGAGCTGTTAGAAATGATAAATGGTGGAGTGAGTTGTTGTTCAATCTTTTCAAAAATCTTTTTATGTAAGGTTTTGGTCAAAATGAAAAAAAGGTAGTGTTACGAGCGGGATTCGAACTCACGACCTTCGGCTTCTTTTTAAAAATGTTGTTCCTACTCACAATGTGGTTGTTTTCAACCTACTTTTTCTGATAGTTCGCAAAAGTATGGCAAATAACGAAAACCTAATGATTCATTTTTGTTGCCTACTTTTTCTGGTAAAATTATAATAAGAAAATAAAGCAATAATAAAGAATATAAATGTAAAGTAATAATAACAATAAAAGTAATTATAATATAAGATAATAATACTGCCTACGCGCTCTTCCGGTTAAAAAAGTTGAAAACAACTAACTGTGAGTAGGAACTATAGTTTTAAAAAGAAAGTATATTTTTTTCTTCGTTTTCTCCAGCAAACTTGACGGATACTAATATGTTGTTAGTTATGTATCGTATTATTATGTTTTCTTCGGGATAATGTATTCTAAATTGACTGTTTCCTCCTAGTGACTTTGGGTCACACGGAACTGAAGATGACAAATTTGAGCAAGACAAATTACCATGTCGATGGCTAATTAGTGAAAAATGTTGGACACATATTCTCTTCCTTCTGCAGTTGGTCAGGAGAGTATTTTGGCAGAATCCATAATTTTTCTATTTTGAATATACTTGTGGGATAACAAGATATGAGTTTATTCTTCTGCTTTTAAGTTCGTGTTCTCAACTGTAATTTTCATAATACATATTTTCTATGTAATGGTGTTTTGTAGCCTTTCCCATGTATGTTTTGATACAAAGTGTATCAAAAATTGATCATGGAATTGACAATGACTCATTTGAGGAAGAAACTTCTGCCAAGTCAATTGTTGAATAGTGGACAATTGTTACTGGGGTGGTTGGTGGTTTGGCGGGTTTGTCGGTGTGCCGTCGGGCGGCTGTTCTGCTGGTTTTCGCCGGTCCCGCGAGAGCGCCCCCTCGGGTCGCCGTAGGGGCGCACAGCCACCCCCTCCACAGGCGCCCCTCTCTCCCGTCTCCATTCCGACTCAATATGGCTTCCGTTAACTCCTGCACGACGACTCTCTGACCAGAAATAGTGTTTTTATTTGAAAATCAGGTGAATTTCCACGGCTCCCGTTGTGAATTCGGACGAAGCGGAGTCTCTAAGACAGACGCGGATGTTTTTCGACGGGTTTCCACTCGGCCAAACGCCCTCACGGCTTTGTTTTGGTGAGTAGATCTGCGTCAGTGTCGGTTGATTTTGTCAAAGAAGAAAAAAGTGAAAGAAAAGTGCATTTAGACAAAATTGGACTTTTTTTTCGAAAGCGGGCCGCTGTCCAGTGACGATCGCTCAAGCCGGACACGTCGTTTTGCCGATGAAGAACTGAACCGACCCCACGATAAACAGTGTCGAAACATGATATGTAGCTGTGCAAAATATATTATAATGTATTTGCCGATTTTTCCTCCGTTTGAACCGGATCCGAGACGATGTTCTTGTAACGACACCGTCTATTATTGACCCTGGTCTGATATTTGCGGATTTCGGTAATGTCATCTTCGGCCTACATTTATTTTTAGGAAACTACACTTTTTCCAGTGCAAGTGTCCAAATATGTAAAAAGACTCCTGTTCGAAAGTGTTTCGTACAGAATCTATTACCTTTCGGGGCCTGACAATTCATCGATGTGATTTTTTCTTGATTTTTCTTTTCCTTTTTTTTTCATTTACGTTGAATAAGAAAAAAGTGTCTGGTGGTGTTGTGTTAACAGTGCAGAACGTGTAGGAATAATGGATCAGACTCCAAGGAAACATCGAAAACATCAAAACTGCAGCAATCAATGAGAGGACCCCGGTAAGGGAAACAATAAAAGAATTTAATTTTTATTTTTACAACTATCGTAAGTGTGGGCCGTGTGACGTTTCGCAATTTTTGCATCTATGGGATTTTCACAGCGAACGGGGGTGAACAGTCAAGACATTGCAAAACTGTCTCACGGCTATCATCACTCTAAATGCCTTTTTTCTTCTTTTTTGGGGTGATTTTTTATTTTTATTTTATTTTATAATTAAACACCGTCATTCGATTGATTAATGGTGGGGCAAATCGCAGATTTACAGACATAAGAAAAGAAAAAAATGTTATAGAAAAAGAAATCGGCCAGTTTGAACTCCAGGTTGAAAGGGGCTGCAATCAAATTTCCCAAGTAGAAACCCGTTGATTGTATCAATGCCTGTAGGACGGGACCGGACGCCAAACTACGACGATCCGATTATCTGGAACTCTTTTTTATTTTCATTTCATTTTTATTGTTAACGACCAAACTGTCCGTTTAAAATGGGATTAAAATCGCAACGGTTGAGACTTTTAGGATTAGTTTTGAGAAAATATCTTTTCCTCCATTTTGTCCTCTCGATATTACCTTGACTCGCTTCTCACTCTCGGGCGCTCTCTCTCTTTCTCTCTCTCGCACCCCCCTCTCGCCCGTTCTCTATCACGCTCTCTTTTTCCCCCTCCCCCACCCCTTCGGACTCACACAACGGCACGACGCACGCACTCACACAAAGACACTGATTACTCACGAAAAGCGCCCGCGCACTCACACAAACACAATCGAAAAAACTCCCCATTTTCTTTATTTTACGATACATCCTTTCTTATCCACTCTTTTTGCATACAAGATGATATTGAATAAGAATCAAATCCTTACGATTGGGTCATGTTCGACGGATTTCGAATATTCAGAAATTTTTTAAATAATATTTTCCTACAAAAATCCAGTATAGTTTAGAGCCAAGCGTTTTAGGATAAACTTAATTTCTCCCTAATGCGCTGAGTGCCGATGCCACTGGCTTCGTCCGACAAAAAATGGAGCACTGGATTTTCTTCGGCCTTTCACCTTTTTTAACATTTTCGTTAGGTAAAATTGCCGTAAGTCGTGTCTGCTGAATAAAACCGTCAGATTGCTGGAAACGTGCAACAGCCTTTCGGATGACTACTGCCATCGACTACCTAGTCCTTCCAACCAACAAATTAAAGCTTAGCTATAAAAAAATCATAATATTCTATCTAATAATACGACTAGTTAAAAAAAAGATAATGAAACCGAATAAAACTGTCAGATGGCTGGAAACGTGCAACAGTCATCCGAAATGACTACTGCCAACATCTGTCCTGACTCCAACAACAGGTTTAATGCTTGGCAAAAAAAAAAAAAACTCTAATTCGTCTTGTTAAAAAACAAATAAAGCTGTCAAATGGCTGGAAACGTGCTACAGCATTTCGGATGACTATTGCCAACAACTGCCCAGTCTCTCCAACCAACAAGTTTAAAGCTTCGCTAGAAAAACCATCATATATTTCTTTTTAATTCGCCCTGTTAAACCAAAATGATAATGAAAACGGATCATTTCTTTCCCGTGTTTGTATGCCAATTAAAAGCAATATAAGCAGTTTCGAGATATTTGTCCCATACTAGATGGCTGAAACGCTTGTGCATCCATTTTAACCTAGGCGACAACGCTAAAAGTGAAAACTGAAATTGAAATGGACTCAAAGTAGGACAGAAAATCCGGCCTTTCACCTTTTCATCTTGACCAAATTCCGCTAGGACTGGTTGGCTGAATAAAACCGTAGGTTCTATTAGGAAGATAGCTGTCGCTGAGTTTTGTAAGGCCTCATACTCGAATCGCCATGTAGTTTTTTTTTTTAAATTTAGGCAAAGCATTTATATACATTAGAAATAGGATAGAACCACAAATCGGGCCCTGAGCTACTTCTGATCATCCGTCTTCGCCCAACTTCCCACAAACTTAGCCAACCTGTGGAATGTAATCAGCCCTGTCACACAAGGATTTTTTTTAGTACAGGGAACGTTCTAAGTCCTCGCATTTCATTGCAAGCTCCCCTTATTAGATAAACTTGAGTAGAGAGGGATTAATAAAAAATGAACGTTTGTGTTTAAATGCCACAAACAACACATAATTATATTAACCAATTTTAAATAATAATAAGAATATGTTTTTGATATGTAATTTAATGTATCCAATTTAAGTGACTTGTATTTAATCGAGCAATTAAAAAACCTCTTGGATGAGTTTTGATCCTAGAATTTATTGTATTTGAGTCTATATTTAATGACAATTTTATTGCTATTATGTGATGCAATTTTTTTTCTGAAATTCTACTAGGTTAATTATGTGGAGGAAAAGTTACTATTGATTTTGCACATACTGCTAATTGAAAAAAAAAACATCCCCCTTGTAACATGGAAGTTTTTAAAGTTCAATTTGGCGAGGCGGAGAGTTACGTAAATTTATATTTTATAGGGTTATGTGAGCAACGTTTAACGGGTCTAATATATAATCTTTTGTCTTCTCAAGAAATAAACGTATAAGAAATTATGGATTGGGATAATGCAAAATTAACAAATTTAATTGTGTGTAATTTTGAAATTTTGCTACATACTTGAATTTATGGAATAATATTCTTACCTTTTTTTTGTCAAATTTGTTATTTGAATGTTAAATCACAGCTATGGATCGATAACCACCCTCATTTAACTACAATGATTTAGGAATTTTAAGTCATATTTTTTTATTATTTATTTAATCACAAGTGGGGGAAAGAATAGTTGAAATATTTGTCCATTGTTTTATTTCCATTAGTTAAAGGTTAAACCATTCTATTCTTCTTGAACGGCTTAGTTTAATCCTCATTAAGCTTAAAGCTCTACTTATAATCTACTACTTATAACCAAGTTACAACCTCCTTCTCTTTTTAAAATATTTTAAAAGCGTGTGAATACAAAATAATGGTCCAAAATTCTAACCAAATGGCGGACAAACGTTGCGACAACCCTCTTCCTTGGGGTAGTGGGGACGAAGTGTAGTGTGTGAATGTAATTTTTAGCGTGAATGGGGGCATATCCCCTCTTAAAAAGTTGTACGTGATCGTTTGACCGCTTTATGAAAATCTGCTTAACGGCATAGCCTGGAAATCGCCAGTTGGGCGAAATTAGCGTAGACGATATGCCAATGACTGTTGCATCGGATTTTGGAAAGTTGATTCGCATACTTTCTTTCACATTTTATTCAATTAGTTTGAGTGGTGTTTGAAAGCTTAAAATCTATGTTAGCATAGGAAATTGATTAACGATTTTTATCTGATCAATTATTCGTAAACATCATATCACCGAAAAGCCTGATAAACCCACCGAAACATACACATTTTCTTTCATAAGCCAGTTATTTCCAAACTTAACATCATTTATATTGCATTTTTAACAATTTCGTAACAAAACAATATTTTTTTATTAAAAAATAATATAAATCAGTCAAATAATTTTCTTTAAAAAATTGATCTCTTCCTTCAAAATATTGATTGATAAATCTATTGAACAAAATACATTTTCTTTTATAAATCAGTTATTTCCAAACTTAAACTCAATGCATATTGCAATTTTAAAACAGTAACAAACTGAATTGACTTTTGTAATAAAAAATGTAACGAATCCATCAAAATAATATAAATCAGGCAAATAATTATCTTTAATCAGTTATTTCCAAACTTTAACTCAATGCATTTTGCAATTTTAAAGCAGTAACAAACTGAATTGGCTTTTTTAATAAAAAATATAACGAACCCATCAAAATAATATAAATCAGGCAAATAATTATCTTTAATCAGTTATTTCCAAACTTTAACTCAATGTATATTGCAATTTTTAAACAGTAAGAAACAAACTATATCGGAGTTATTAATAACAATTTAACAAACCCATCAATAATAATATAAATCAGCCAATTTATTTTCATTAAAACAATAGATCTTTGTTGATTGTAAAATAAATATGGCTTAAACTGAGAAAACCTGATACACTTACCGAACAAAATACTTTTGTTTTAATAAACCAGCTATTTCAAACTTTAACTCAATGTATTTTGCAATTTTTAAGACAGCACGAAATATAACATTAATAAAAAATGCAACGAACCCATCAATAATAATACAAATGACCCAAATTATTTTGTTTAAAAAAATTATCCATCTTTGAATTTAAAATATTGGTTGTTAAATAAGGATAAGCCAAGAAGGATTACCTAAAAAAATATAGATCTGTTAACACCTGCTTTAGCACAATGTATATTGCAATTTTTAGACGGCGAGAAACTATATTGGATTTTTAATATTTTTTTATTGTTAAGCAAACATAGCTTACGCATTTTTGTTATGATTTCTATGAGACTTTCTATTTTTATTCATTTTTTAAAAAATAGCCATTATTTCATTGTTAATTTTACATCCTGTATGTTCGTCATAATAGTGTTTAGAAAGGGTCTTCTTTCTGGTGGCATTTGCTGAGAATGGTTTGGTTTTTTAACGGTCTACATTCCTGTGACATTCGACGAAGAACGGCTAATAACGGCCGACAGGGAAGAGAAAGTTGACAGATGCTTCGTTAAGTTCCGTTCGGCCAGTTGTAATGTACACGACCTGCTCATGGGAAGGGGGGGACTTACGTCGGATCGTTGCCTCCTCGTTGATAATGTACAATTGTAATATGACGTTTTATGTTTATGAGCTTTGGTAAATGTAGAATGTTTAGAAAATAACATTTTGTTCCTATTTTTTAAACATTTCAATTTTTTTTAGCTAGACAGAGTCGTTCAGTTTTAACTTTTATCAAACTTACCCACCTTCTACCAAGCAAATTACCTTATTTGGAGAGTGGTTTTTATCTTATCCCTGCTTTCTAGACAACTTTATCCAAAATTATCTTTTATACAATGAGAAATTTTTAAAAACTCCTTCCGAATTACTTTTTTAGTAGTTCATCAAGCAAATTAATTTTT